TAATTGGCATAAAGTTCAGAATAACTTAGATTCCGTGCTATTGGGTGATTTGTCAATAAGGTGTAACTGGAATCCAGCATTAATTAGAACGTGAATACGGTTCACAAATAGAAAGGTTACCAGTGATCTGTTTGGACCAAAAAGTATCACTCATATAGCTGAAATGTTCATAGTGATGGGATTTCATTTAATCACTCAGACTAGTGGCCATAATGCAGTCAGAACCATAGAATTCTGTCATCACTAAGAATTAGATTATTAAAAAATGGACTACAACTTATTGATCAGGCAATGCAATTATTGTAATGTTTTGTACCAGACAAAGTACAAGTATTTATGAACAACATACACAACATACTCAATATTCGTTGACCGGATACCATCAGTAACAACCTACTGTAGGAGAGAACAAACAAGCTTTCCGATGAAGAGGAAATTAGGAAATGACGCTTCAAATGGATAGTACATACACTGCGGAAATCACCAAACTTCAACAAGAGGCGAGCCCTAACTTGGAATTCTGAAGGGAAACGGAAAAGAGGAAAACCAAAGAACACATTGGTTCAAGAATCGTAAGCAGACACCAGAAGTATGAATAGTAACTTGAAAGAATTACTCAGGGCAGAGTTGAATGGAGAATACTGGTGGGCAGTCTATGCTCGTTCATGAGGAGTAATAGGTGCAAGTAAGTAAATAAGTTTGCACTGGTCATTACAACGTACACGTACACATAACGAGAGGGATTTAAACCATTAGCAAAAATCTGACCTTATAAATAGCATAGAGAAATTGTGCTTATTCTATAGTTAGGTGTTATAACTTGTGGCCTGTGTGTCCTATTAATGTATAACGTACTGATACCGTCAATTAGAGAGCAGTGAATTATGGATCGGACCAATGACGCATAAAACCCGTGCGACCAGACTAGAGTACTTATCGGTCCTACTTCCTGCCTAGCCCAGCCAGTTAAGTACAGAACACCAATCTTAGCCTCCGCAATATGTATTTCAAACATACTGGGTTTATATACTAACCAGACAGACCACATCGTACCGTAAAATGGAAAATAACATTTGTATAAGAATTAGCCAAATGTGGCTGTGATTATGGGAGATAGTAATGAACAGACAGGGCATAAGTCAAGAAAGGTAAATTGTATAATAATAGTTCAGAGGTCAAAATAAAGCTTATAATAAGAGGGGCATGAATAGTATAGTTATTCAATAAGTATACGATAAAAAAATATATGCATAGTATTGGTACATAAATGGATCCCAAAAGTTACCATTCATTACGCTTATCGGGACATAACATTAGGGTTGATAAAGAGCAATAATATTATCTATATAATGTTCACAGAACGCAGACTGATTTACAGAAATGACCAGGGAACAACTGAAATAAGTATGGATATCTTATTTAAAAAGACATAATTCATAAATTATTTCAACTGAACATTTTTACAGAGTTGTTAAAAATGAGGCGGAACGTGCAAGCGAAATCCATCGGTCGGTCAGTCAGGAACAACGTTGAACTTCGTACGTATGTACGTACATCAGTTCGAGTTGCCATACCACATTAGCACAGAGTTACAATTGTCGATTCAAATCCTATAGCGGTAAAGGTAGTAAAAATATAAACAGTAATCGGAAAGATTAGAGTTTGAAGATGTTATTCAAGGAGTATAATTCAGTGAAATAAATTTGGAAAGAGACAGAAAGGAGATGTAAAGAATTCAGAAGATTAGAATTCGGGAGATCGCAAAGAGTGGAAGCACCTGTGCCATTGGAAACGATTTTGAGCCATGTCATTCAATGTCTCTAACCATCAGGTAGTTTACGCCTACCAACATGGCTCAGTGCACTTGTCAATGTTTTCATCGATTTGTGTCATATTTTGGTAAGTGAAATCCATAGTCAAAGGTGACATCGTTTTTTCAACAAATCCTCCAACTATAGAGCTATCTTTAATAACCCATATGTGAAAAACATGATTATACTAGGAAGGTAGCACAGCTACAAAGTTATGTTCATTTTCGAATGATAGATGTCAAGTTTTTGCCCTAGAATGTACATTAAATAATTTATCCACTTGTCGTACAGCTTACTGTTTCACAGAACCTTCACATTTAATATTAACCAGTCGGCAACTATTTTCACTGTTTAAGAGCATAGTGTATTGAAAGATGGGATGACATGTTTAATTTTTTGGGAAAATATCTGAATTTATTGAAGTACTAATAATGTAGGTCATGTAATTCAACGAGGCTATCGAATGATACTCGAACATAGAAAAGATTTTTCAATCCCTGCTGGCCATAGAATATCGCACTCATAATCTGCTGTTTTCTTGGCGAGAAGATAGAGACGTCAAATTTATGAAGAATTAAAATAAATAGCGTGATATTAGTTCATTTATGAAATTTACATAAGGATCTATGACGTGAAATTAGAGAACGAAATCAAAGAGGATTGATGATCCTAATAAAGTCACTTCGCTTGTTCTTTTGACTGATGGAGTAAACGATGCAGGTTTATGTAGCCGACTTTGAGAAACACTATGTATGAGGGATAATGTTACCGAAGTAATTTGATTGAGACTCAGATCTACTACTTACAAATTGAAAGTCTAGAGGTCAACTCACTGGATTACAACACAAAAATTCTAAATAAATCGACCTTATCTCGGAAGATGAAAGCGAACTAGATTGCCCCTGTAGCGGTAAATAAATCCGTAAGTCCTCGACATTTGATGCTGACCACATTAGTTTTAATGAACCCACCTAGCTGAAAGCGCTCGGCCACGCATCCGCACCAGATCACGAGTGAGAACGCTGTGCTCAACTTCTCCTGCAACCGCTAGCCAGTATACATCAGTCACTCCTCGATATATTGATAACCTTTCAATTATTATTATTATTATTATTATTATTATTATTATTATTATTATTATTATCTATTCGCTGCTGACTTTTAATTTTACTAGGTAGGCACGATTCAATCATAGAAAGTATTACAGGTTAGAATGTTGTCAAACTACAAATACTTGTGGTATCTTCACCTTCAGACCTTTAATTCCTCAATTCAATCTTATAATGCATCTATGACATGTAAAACTGATGAATATCTCGCATAGACGAAAATATTGGCTTTGAAATTATTTAATTTTCATTAGATTATTATAAATCTCAATCATAATGTAAGCTTTAATTACACTGATTATAAAATTATAAACATTCTATAGAATACGTGTTTCTAAACAATGAATCGAATAAATCGTTATAAATTATTGACAAAAATTAACTGTTAGACTACACTAAATTTGTATACTTAAAACCCAAATGACCTGGATTATCTTTAAGAAGTTATCTTACCTCTCCCCCCAGTATAATTGTTTTCGAAACTGTTCAACATTCAATATATTCATCATTAGTATTGCATAGTCTGTCAATCAATAAGTAATTCCTAAAAGCGTTAACAGGGTGTATGAGTCGTTTCTAAAATTGTGGTGTCTGAACTGGATTTAAAATTAATACCACGTCTGAGTGAATAGTCTGAGGGAGAGGGTGGCGAAAGTCACCTACCTCTCCCTTTCCAAATGCTCCCACATGGCCAAGTGCATACAACCACTGTCAGGGAACTCCTCCTCACTGCCGTCTCATGTGATTACTGTCGTTTACGAAATTGAGAGGACGGAAAGCGAATGTTCGGCGCTTTAACCGAGTTGGTGGATATGGAGGATCCACCTAGAGTAGTTGGAAAACCCTCATTTCAAACCAATGGTGCAAATGAAATCCAGGATCCTGAAGGAACAAATCACGTATGAACCAATCGTTGGTTACCGGTTACCATCAAACTGCATCTTTTGATGTTTTTCCACTGCCTTGTGTTTCAGACCTTTAGGTAGAAGACTCGGGGTGTGGCCCCCTCAGAAAACCACTTGCTTCAGTTTGGGCACTCGGACAGCATGTCAGCCCACACACACAAATCAAGTGACTTGTTTAACACATAAGTATTCCGTGCCTCGTTGTATCAATACTTAAGTGTTCCATTAAATATATAAAATAAACTGATAATGGAGCTTAAGGCCAAGAAATTTATTCTGAAGTATATTCATGTAAATGATTTCTTCATAAAGGAATTGTGAATTTTTCATTCATGTTCAAAACACTATTTCGATTCAGAAAATAAGATGTTCCATCACCAATTTCTGATGCTCAAAATTAAAAGACTTTTCACTCAGACGTGATATTAATTTGAAATCCAGTTCAGACACCGCAATTTTAGAAACGAATCATACACCCTATTAAAGCTTTTAGGAATTACTTGTTAATTGACAGGCTATCCAGTACTAATGATGAATATATCGAATGTTGAACAGTTCCGAAAACAATTATATACGATTATACTGGAGGGGGGGAGGTAAGATAAGTTCTTAAAGATTATCCAGTGATATTGTGAATGACAAATTTACGTAAGAAGTATTACAATAGGTTGACACAAGAAGATAAATTCATGTGATCAAAGCGGTTACTTCTCAATGTCATTGAGTTTAGTAATTCAATCTTGATATACTGTAAATGTCGTTCAAATCTTTTAAACCGGTTGGAATCATCTGAACACAATCAAATCGAGTAACTGCCCTCTTCTTTCTTTATACTAAGTTCAATCACTGATTTTAGTAGAGGAATTTTGTGGAGATAGTTCAATGTGTAGATTATACCACAACTATATCTTAGGTAGACAATCGATACCATGACACACTCAACAACTACAATACGCACCCCTGACCCTGGTATGAACCGAACTCTAAAAGAAAAACACTGAGGAAAAAGAAAATCACATTTATCACAACAATAAAATTTCCGCTTCATTAATAATCATTATAACACTATGACAATAACATTTTACACACACACACATATATATATGTATGTGTGTATGAGTGCATTCATACATGTATGAATAGTGTGATCCGATGAAATGAATTAGATGCATAAAAGAAACAATAAGTTAAAGATCATGAAACTAAATCAAATAAAGCAAATCAGATTAGAACAAAGTAATGATAAACGTCCATATATATTGAAAAGCAATTGTTTATTATCATATTTATTAGTAAAGTAGTCAACGCATCACAATATATCAATACGTAAACAATGATTAGTACATTGACTAATGATCCTAGAGACAAGCAAATGAATACACACACACATACATACATACATACATAGATGTATATGCAAACTGTTAGTGATACTCGTTGATAAAATAGAGAACTAATCGAATGATTAATCCTCTATTAGTAACAATATATTAGCGTTTTATGAATGTGATGTAGTTTGTCCATGAGAACAACAAGGAAATGTTTGAGGAGAATATAATTTTGAAAAAGTTGAACAAGCACATAAATATGACTCTAAAAGAAGGTATATTATTATAAGAAAATATACAAGTAATGACAAAGTCAATGATAATAGCAGAAAAAAAAAGAAGAGCTAGTGATAACGTGAGAAGTGAAAGTGAAAGAGAATATAAGCACCACCAGGTTATTTGACAATATCTCCAATCTATCTTATATAATCAACAGCGACAAATCATATTACGTAATAATTAATTGATTTCATAAATTTATTACTTCAGATATTACGTAATTTTCCAAGTCTACAGTTACGATCAATGACTTTTTCTTGAAGAAACATATGTAAACATTTTTCATTTTGAGCCAATGGATGCCCAGCCACCCTTGAAAGAAATGGAGAGGTAAAAAAACGAAAAAAAACTTAGTCAAATTATAAAAAAGAAACGAAATAAGAAAGTACATAGTATTAGGAAAATGAAACAAATTATACACAAACAACTGGAATTCATATAACTTCAGAAGAAACCCACTTATTACTACTGACAAATGTATGCATGGTTTACACATACTTTGTCCCCAAATGCCCTGATACGACCGAGATTTAGGAGAGTTAGCTCACCCTCTCGAAATCCTCTCACATAGCCACGTGCATACAACCACTGCCACACAAGTCCTACTCATTGCAATCTCATAAGATTACTGTTGTTTACGAAACTGAGAGGACGAAAAGTGAATGTCCGGCGCTTTAACTGGATTGGTGAATATGGAGGATCCACCAAGGGGAGTTGGAAAACCCTCATTCCAAACCAATGGTGCATATGGGCTCCAGTATTCTGAATGAAAAAATGGCGTATGAACCTATTGTTGGTCACTGGCTACAACGGGACTGCATCTCCTGACGTTGCTTCACTGCCTTGTGGATCATACTTTTAGGTCGAAGGCCTGGGTGTGTTCCCCTAAGAAAACCACCTGCTTCGGTTTGGGTACCCGGACAGTATCCCAGCCTTCACACAAACCGAATGATTTATGTGGCGCATGTCTGTTTGGTACCTACTTGTACCAATGTTTATGTATTTAAATAAATAAATTATACATACTTTAGCACATGTGGACATAATACACGTTACTTTATGTATAACAGTGAAAATTTATTAGGTTCAGCACGAGCTTGATTTTGGGAACGGGGAAGTCAAACTGAACCACATCACATCAGTTAGCAACTTGGACAGATGCTTATTCATGCCAGGTCCTACTTATATCTGACTAAATTATAAAATGGAATTGAATGACACAATTGTAAGCGAGTGTACGTTTTCAATCAAAAATTAGCCAAATATTAAATATTTAGTGTCAAATAAACCAATATAAAAAGTTTCAGTGTAAACATTAAGACTCGGTTAGCTACCTCAAAAAGGATAAGAAACTATTATTTTACTGGATAGAACTTTCAGTATATTAGGAAGTTATTGGGTTGTATAATATGAAGAACGGTATCATAGATACACTATTATAAACCTATTTAAATATTCGTTTATATTACTGAGGTCACGAACCGATTTAACTTGGACAAATATTGAGAACCCGTAGGCACTGAATAGCCGTTTCGTCCTAGTGTATGACTTCGCAGCAGTGTGCATCCACAACCGCACAGCCAGAAATCGAGTGCAGGACACTCAGTCTTGCACACGAACGCCAGTATCCAACGATGTTAATGTCTAACTTCAATCAATCCATGAGATTGTGTGATCCTCTTCTAATCTCTTTGGTGAGTAATTTGCTCACACCCAACACAGCTGAAATACACTAGTTACTGCTACACATTAGAATTTCGGGAATTTCCTTTTGAATTTAATCACTGGTGAGTACATGATAATTACCGGTATTGGGTTAGGGAGATTGTTTGATTTTATTAAGATCACGAACTAACCTAGGTTATAAAAACCATTCGAAATCTGGATGCGAAACATGACTATTTCATCTAACTATGGGACTTTGTTTATAGTGATGTGTTTCTATCTTTTATGATATCTTTCTCCTTGATTCAAATGGGTGAATCAATAAAACCTTTAATGTAAACACTTTTCAATTCATTATAAGGTAACAAACACTGTAGATTAGATTGAAATGAACAGTTAGTGTTAAATTAGCTTTCCTATTAAGAAATTAATTCTTGACACACACACACACACACAACTCATTTGTCAAGTTAAAGTCTAATCTATATATATATTCTGCAATATCATTAGGTCCTGCTTACTAAACATACATATAGTACACAATATCTAATATTTGATTCTAAAACAATTCGAATTTAATTTAACATGTATTACATAATCTTTTCTGTAATAAACTTAATCAAATGTCATGAATAAATCATCAAAATAATCCGATGATTATTTGTTGTCTACCTCGTGACAATTATCATTTTGCAGTATGGATTATAATTATTAATAATAAAACTGTCATTAAAAATAAAACATTAATGACCCAACTAATCAATATATACAATATATCAGAAGGGGTTTTGTGGAGAGTGTAGTAAATTCAATTGTTGAAACCATGGGTCAATGGAAGTTAAACTACTATGGAAGATCTGGAAACACTAGACGACCGTTTCGTCCTATTGTGAGACTCCTCAGCAGTGCGCACCCACTCTTTTTAGTTTTATACCATCTGTAAGAAACACTATTGAAATGTTTCGAAAAAATAATCGGTTGAAAATAAGTGGACATCATATTTTTTGTCTGTTTAAACACATAAACGTTTGTAAAAAGGGTCACCACAGAAAGAAATCACCATGCGATTTGTGAGTGGACTGGGATACAGCCTAGGTGCCTAAACAGAACCAGGCGACTTTCTCAGGAGTTCACACCCATAAGGTGGTGGAACAACTTTAGGAAGTACTGTACCATGGTAGCCGGTGACCAACAATAGATTTATACACCATTTGTTCCCTCAGGATATTGGAGTCCATGCGCACCATTGGTTTGGAACCAAGGTTTTTTCAACTCCCCCAGCTTGATCCTCAATATCCACCAAAACAATTTGATGTGCGGATATAGGCTTTTCATTCTCTCAATTTCGTAAACAACACCCCTGCCACGAAAAGGCATTAAATAGAACATCCCTGTCAGTGACCATATGAGGGTATTTCGAGAGAGAGAGAGTGGACCCTCCCCACCCTTGGTCGAACTAAGGCATTTGGAAAAAGGGAAACAATGGTTAGAAAATCAATTAAAGACACAAACTTTAGCTATTAAGTTGTAGAATTAAAATTCAATTAATTTATACATTTATCAAAATTTTGACACGTAACCTAATGACTAATCCACATTCATTTGTTCTTCGTTCAATATCTCTATGGTATGTACATCGGTCAAATGATAATTAATAATCAATTAACAAGATGTAAACATATTGAGTTAAAATAATAATGAATATATCCAAGTAGAATTACTTCTTTCCTTGTATACACAAGTTAAAACAGGAAACAAAAATAGTACTTGTTAGTATCAAAATAGGGTAATACAATGAAATTTAATTATCACTTAGTTATTAACACAAGTTTATACACTATTGAATTAAATTGAAAAGAAAATCAATAGTTTGAAAATGAACTATTTATATTTTAATGAAAAAACAGTAGTATCAGACATACGAAATACGAGTGCACAAAAGATATCAACCTGATATCAGTCACATATCAATTTTTTGGAAGAATTTCGTTGTGTAGAACCTGAAACAAATTTCTAATCTTACAATAGGGCAATGGATCTTTGTGAATCAAAGGTGTTTTACTTCGAGACTGAACGGAAAACAAATGTCCGATACATTAACCGAGTTGGTCGATATGGAGGATCAATCTAGGGGAGTTAGAAAACCTTGGTTCCAAACCAATCATGCACATGGACTCCAATATCCTGAGAGAACAAATGGCGTATGAACCTATTGCTGGACACTAGCAACCATGGAACAGCACTTCCTAAAGTTGCTCCACAGCCTTGTGGATTAGACCTATAGGCTCCGGGTGTGACTCCCCATGAAAGTCACCTGATCTTGTTTGGGCGCCTGAGCAGTATTCCGACCCTCACACAAACCGAATGATTACAACTGAAAGAAACTACCCTCGCTTCAATTCGCGTTCAGGCAAATCAAGTTCACAATCATTCGGTAACATTCGTTATTACTTTTTTACACTACATCACCTGAATAGACCCTTTCATTCTCCTTTTGTGCATTATTTTATTTTTCGACTTATACAGTAGTTTGCCTGTGGTGGAAATTATGTCCTATCTAAACGATTTCAAGTCACTGACTGGTCAGAAGTTGAATGTTACTACCAACTACAAAAATCGAACTAGCCTTTCCGAAACCGCGTATACCATTCAAACTGGCTACCTTCAACGTTCGCTCACTAATGCAGATCGACCGACATATAGGGTTGGTTGTCTTTAGAAAGTCTCAACATTGATGTCTTTTGTCTATCCGAGACCTGTATTCAAAACTCTAGTAAAGCACTACAAATTCGCATTCCATTTGTCGCTTCAAAGGGCTTGTTTCGCGCGCGTTCATCCGGGGACCATGTGGCATCGTCTGGTTTTGCTGGCGTTAGTGTTAGTGCAGATCTGTTGCCTGGAGAAAAACTGCTCGACCTTGAGTATGCAAATGATACTGTCTTAGTGTGCGATAATGCCCAATCCATGCAATCCGCACTTAGTCAGTTGGCAATTAGTGTCCGTAGGTATGGTATGTGCATCGCACCTTCGAAGTGCAAAGTACTTTTATAAGGCTGTCACGACCCTGAACCTGCGCTCACTCTGGGTAGTGAGCAGATAGAAGTTGTCGAGAAGTTTGTGCACCTGAGTAGCTACATAAGTGATGGTGGTGGCGTGAGTGATGAGATCAATTCACGTATAGTAAAAGCCGGAGAGGCTTACGTCAATGAGGATCATCGTTGGCACTTTCGTGGTTATCCTGGCTGTAAAAGGAGGATCTACAACGCGACCATGAAAGCAATTTTGCTCTATGCATGTGAAGCTTGTCCTCTCAAATTTGAGGATGTTAGACGACTGTGTTTGATCTTTGCTGTCTCCGAGGACTGATAACATCCAGTGGAAACACCATGTTTGTAATGCATAGGTTCGGCATCGCGTGTTCGGGCACAGAGACGATAATCCAATTGGTGTCACCATCTTGAAACATTGACTTCATTAGCTTGGATATGCCTTACGAATGTCATCCTAGACAGTTACACATCGTGCCTTATTTGCCGACGCTGGGACTGGTTGGAGAAAGTGGAGAGGTGGTCAGTGTAGGAAATGGTGTGGTGGTATGAAAGAAAGCTGTACAGGACTGACGTCTGCCGAACCTTTACGACTTCCTGGTCGGGATCTTAGAGATGGTACTTCAGGGTGACTGGTGGTCGTCATAAGATAATGGCCGGAGTATTGTATAGCCCAGGGATGTGGACGGGTGGTTTGGGTGGGGCGTAGTAAGGTTGGTTAGTGTATGTTATAATGACGAGGTTTACGCCTTTTTTGCCGGGATTGGGGGTGGGGGGACCTGCGGTTTGTGGGCGACCATATGGTGGGCAAGAGAAGTCTCGTTTTGGTGGTTATTGGGGCCGCGGCGTCGGGGTTGGAGGTCGCTTACCGCAATGGCGTGGTTTCTTCACGTCCTCTATTGGTATTTTGTGGGAATAGAGGGATGTAGGTTACCACCTCTTTTACCAAATGGTGGTGTTTGCATTGATATACATGATTCTTTTGATTGTTCATGTGGTTAACTTTAAGGGCGTGGATTCTGTAGTTATGAAAGATGTTATTCGGTACGTGTTGGAGAGAGTCAGTCTGGTCTGCTTCAATAGGTGTTCGTGGTCGGGTGGTGGTACCATGGGGCATGGGGCCTTACCTCATTAGCTCTGTGTTGATGTGTATAGTGGGATCTCTGATGTTCAATGGAGGATTGGTTAATAATGCGGGCTACCTCACTCCATGATTTGTGAGGGTTTTCTACTTGTATTCGGGACAGGTATGGTGTGGTGAGGTAATGGTCAATTTTACTTTGGGGACCGTTTGTTGCTTATTGATTATTTTTTATTCTAGTAATAATGGCTTGCAAGAAATTAACTCCAGGTTGAAAAAGCAAATGTTCATAAGACGTAAACTACTGGTTAAGTAAGTTTTCTATTCCTGTTACGTCGCTCAGTCGAGGATTCTCATCCTAATCAGTACCTGTGGCGGCCCGAAATGGGTACTGGAGGTTCCAGGCGTTTCGGGGGAAGCGTGGTACTACATTTGCGGGGGATAGTCTTTTTGTGTGATACCGTGGTGGGGAGTGGACATGGGTCTTTTAGCGGATGTAGGAGATTTAATGTTTGGGATGCTGTTAATAGGTGGCTGGGTCGTGGCTGCGGGGGCGTGATACGTTTTATCGCGGTGCCCGTTTAGTGGCACTGGGTGGCAGTGTACTAGTATATATTACCATGTTGGTGGATGAGTTGTGCTACTGTGTTTCAAGAAGCGTAAGTCGTCGGGGGGTGCAATCGTGCTGGTGTAGGGTGTGGGTAAAGGATTGGGTTTGGTACGTGGTCTAGGATGTATGGCATTGTCGGTGGTTGGGGGTTTTGGGTTGTGACATATGTTGGGGTGTATGGGAATGGGAGGGGGGTGTTGGGGTGACGGGTTTGGTCGTTGGTTTGGTGTGGTAAGTGGAAGTTTGTCAGGATCATGGTCGGTTGGAACGACATAATTGTTGGCTTACGGTGCGCGTATTTCGACAGGGCGTGACGTTAACCTACATTTCACGTGGCACTATAAACTCGGAAGGCGTAGATTTCGATGTTTGTTGTAACACTAGGTATTTGTTGGTCTATTATTAGCACGTTTATTGCATCGAAGAATAACTTTTCTGTTTGTAGAACACTTAACGGAATTTTGAATTCTATGTGACAAGCACACCAACAACTCCATCTCAAATAAAAACATGAGGAAATGAATTATTCCTGAAAAAAATATACATACATGTAATACATAATCTTATTTATAACGCACCGAACTTTCGAACCATGGGTACGCTTACATATAGGTTTTATTACGTTTAGACAAGATAGAACCACTTCGATGACGTTAATAGACTTTGATTGCATGTTCATCTTATACTGTCTTCTAAGAATCACTTATTTCCGCGCGCAACGCCTGTGTGCGACGACAGACACGTTGACGCAGAGAAAAGTGGCGCAACCGTCTTAGAATTGCGTCATGTTTGCGAAATAAACTACGAATCAAAAAGAGAGACGTTTAATGTGCTGAGAAAGTTCAAGATAGTTTTCAATTGAGTTCATACACTTAACCAGAAATCTTGAGGAATTTTTGGGGTTTAATCAAAGGACTTAGATGGACTTCTCCAAAGTAATTGAGAATCCTGGAGAAAAAAATCCGGACCAGGTGAAATTTCCAGGCATTTAGCCAAAACCCACTAAAGTTTTCTGTTAGAGTTCCCTCAAAAAAATCGATAAAAATCCACCCCAAAATCGACAGGTAGATTAAATAGATAAGCTACATACCTTGCTTTCACGGTCTAGCTCGTCACGAAGCCATTTGAAATCACTATACCTCCGACGAACCGAAGACTCTTTGTGTGCAAATATAGGTAAATTTGTCTACAGAAAACTACGATGACTACAGAAATTTACGTACTCTAAGACTAACTTCATAGTCTGTGAAGCGGTCTTTACCATCCTCGTGAGTGAGAGGGTTGCACACATCAATCTCTAAGAAATTTGCTGGTGGTGAATAAGCATCTTCAATTGTTTGCCTTCTAGGGACCAACCTCTGAGTTGCAGAAGCTACGGTTGCGGGTGACTCAAGCATACCGCGATTTTGAGAAACTGGCTGTAGAAACCGAAAAAAAGAGATTCAATTATTTCAAAATTCTATTTTTCGTTTTCTATCTAGCCTATTAGAAACACTTGACGTTTCGAAATTTCTGATCTGCTAGTTATCTGCTTTTAGTTCGTAAACTGCTCAGATTATACCTAGTCTTCATATTCCACCTATCGGTCAGCTGCCCCATATACCATTCTTCCTAGACGTCATCTTCTTCCTCCCTCAGCTATACAGTACCCAAAGTCTCATTAAAATGACAAAAGCTGCATTTCTAGGTCTGGTATTTTAGGCGTAATTAATATGTTCTGTGGCTGGAAGCGGGGGTCACTGCATGGAAGAACACTATCGACTGTCGATACCAAAATAAACGAATAATTACAAACTTATTGATAAAGATCGCAAGGTCCAGATGCTCGCACATGATAACAGTTGTTCATCAGTTAACATTCAGCGACGATGTCTGAAAATTAATAGCGAAAGTGAAAACCTATGGTACATTCTCTTGGTATTATTTTGTAAGTCACAATATTCGTGAACACCATGAGCAACCCTTCGCACGACAAGCGATAAGACCTAAATCTTAGAACCATCTGATCTCATAATCTAACGAGGGATTAAATTATAGTCCAGCAATTCCTCTTTTATAAATTGCAGACCATTAGCGTCTGAGAAATAGGGCCGAGGCAAAATGGTTCAAATTGTGGTTCAAATGGTTGTAGACAGAATAGAAGAAGCTTTCGTTTAACAGGCTTCCGTGTCTAGTATCAGGGGATCACCAAAACCTTTAGGAAGGAACCTAGGTATGTTAACAATAAAAGAGGAAAAGAAAATAGTAAATCATAGTGTGATACTATCCTTAGTCCTTAAGTATAGATCAAGTTGCCTCTTAAAGGACTCCTGGGAAGTCTCTTAGACTAGCTCGGCCGGCAGCGAATTCCAGCATTTGACAACTCTTAAGGAGTAGAAGTTGTTGTGTCTCCAGTTTTTGGGTGTCACCCCACAGGTTAGTGTTGGAACCAAGCTTAAGTAGGTGTTTGAGAGGATGTCCAGAAGTGTTAAGACTACTGTAAGCCATCGGAAGGTCACCTCTAAGACGTCTATACTCTAATGGGCAAAGGTTAAGTGATTGGAGGTGCTCTTCATAAGGTTTGAATTCGAGTCCTGATTTCGTGGCTCGCCGTCGGATACGCTCCAGGGTGTCCTTATCCTTTTGGAGTGAGGGAGGAAATGCTATGTTTCCGTACTCTAAATGGGGACGAATAAAACTATTGAAGATAATATGGAAAGTTCTTCCATCAAGCTGGCCAAAAGTGCGCTTCAATGTTACCAGTGCAAGGTTTGCTCGGAAGGCATTTTTGTCACAGTGAGCATAAGACTTTAAATCGAAAGGCACCAGGACTCGTAAATCTTTTTCGACTCGGGATATTACTAGAGAGGAGTTTCCTAAGTTATAACTGTAGTCTGCGACATGTCGCAGATGGACTACTTTACACTATGAAGTGTTAAATGTAAGTCCGTTATCGTATGCCCAACTTTGAGGTCGAGTCGGATCCTCCTGAAGTGCCTGTATATCGTCTTGTTTGCGTATCTCTCTCCAAAGTTTCACGTCGTCGGCAAAAAGTAATAAGTCTGACGTTGCCTGAGGAGGAAGATAATTTATATAGATCAAGAAGAGAAAAGGTCCCAGTACTGAACCCTGGGGGACCCCACTAGAACATTCCATAGCCTGACATAAGGCGAAATTAACCCTGACCCTAAAATGTCGATTGTTCAGGTATGAAGTGAGCCAATCGATTAGAGGTGGTCTGATACCCAATTGTTTGAGCTTATTGATAAGACAAGTGTGGTTAACCTGATCAAAAGCTTTTGAGAAATCTAGGTAGATGATATCAACCTTCCCCTTGTGATCGAGGATGCTTGTCCAACTGTCCACCTCAGTCAGCAGATTGGTTATACAAGAGCAACACTTCCTGAAACCATGCTGTTGGGGTGGGAAGAAATGTAAGGACAGTAAATAGTCATATACACCATCGCATACCAGGGACGCCATAATATTTTTATGGTATTGAGAGAAGAGCCACCGGTCGGTAACTTGAAGGTTCGCTGCGTCGACCTCCTTTGAAAACTGGTGTGATGTGAGCCAGCTTCCAATTTTCCGGTAGTTTTCCTCGGCTTAGCGAGTGTGAGAACATCACGCCAAGCGGCGTTGCCAGGATTGGAGCTGCTTCCATCAGTATGGCAGAATGAACCATATCCGGGCCAGGAGAAGTGTCAATTCTTAAGTGCTACAGTTTCCGGAACATCGAGTCAGCGCTCAGGTTCACCTAGGAAAGTCCCTAGGAGTTGCAGATGAAGCCTTCGTCAGTATAGTTTATGTGGGTCGGTTGAAATGTCCGAGAATATTGTTCAGCAAAAACGTTAGCGGCGTCGCCATCGTCGTTGGTCGAGCCGTTTAGACCTAGCAGTTGGGAAACTCCAGTTTTGGCTTGACGAAGAGAGGCTGCATAACGGAATAAGCTTTTCTGATTAGAGACAAATTTGTCCATAAGCTTTGTCTGGTACTGAGGCTTGTCATCTCTTATAGCCTTCGTGCATATATTCCTTATATGTTTGTATTGCCTGTACGCTCCGTTGTTGTCAGTTCGTTTGTATTCAGTCCAACAGTGCCTTTTGCGGCTTAGCAGGTGAAGAGTGTGGTTCCTGATGATTGTGGGTAGCTGATAGCTATGGGGGACCGTTTGAGGAACTGAATGATTTGTAGCACATATGAGCGTGTGCAGTAAGAAATCCCAATGAGCATCCACATCGAGTTGAGGATGAACATCTCAATCCACCTGTTGTAGATAGTTGTGTAGAGCTGGCACATTCAACAGTTTGAAATTCCAGCGCAAGTTGTTGGTGGGATATCTTAGCTCAGTTTTGCTGACGAAACTAAAGGCTATAACGGCGTGATCGCTTTTTCCCATGGGAGCCAAGATTAAGAGGTTGTCAACTAGGAATTCTTCGTTTGTAAATACACAGTCTAAGCGCGATGGTGTCTGACCGTTTCTCCAACAAGTTGCCGACTTTACATTTTCGTATAAACCCAAGTCCTCAATGAGGTTGAAGAACAGAGCTTGTTTTGTTTTGTTAAATTTAATAAACCCCAAAATAAGCAAAGATGGGTAGTGGCCAACAGTGGAATCTAGGACGTGCCTTTCGTCCTATTTGGGACTCGTCAGCTGGATGTATCTGCATCTAAGAGTTGATGTTCACTCTGGGACTCGCTTCAAACGCCATCGCAATATCCACCTAGCCACGGAGTCCTGATAACCACTTGCTTGTGCAATGAATTATATCTTATAAAAACTCAACTCAATTTTTAGCCTAATATTTTTCTATTTTTAAGTATTCCTGAATATTGCGCTTCGCGAAGGGTAGCTGTTTATATTAGCCTCCTGGAAGAACCCAACACAATGCCATTGATTGAAAAGGCCTTTCTTGATAAAAAGAGTGTATTTGTTCCGCAAATTATGTTTTCTGCGTCAGACAATTCCCCTATGTCTATGCGTCATGATAAATCACTAAAAGAGATTGAATTCCGGAAGTCTAATGGGAAGATTCAAGTAATTAATATCAAGTGAATTAAACCCCAAGATAGTTTTATAAGTCTTAGACGTTTATTTTGACCTCATTGATTTCACTGGACTCGCTCTAACTGATGGCGCTCAGTAAAGCATATTAACTAGATCATCAATGAAGTACGCCATACTGTGCATCCCTACCAATAAATTAACTCCGTAGACGAATTCATTACAATTGCTGATTGGTTTCTACAGAACACCGGAACTCCCGGTACCAGAGTTTGTTCTATTGAGGAAAAACCTCAAACGATACAAAACAAAATCTCAGATACCTATACTGTGTCACTGGTTTCCTTGGTGTTCACCATGATGCCAAAATGATCCAAAACTTCACAAACAATTTCTGGACCACGAAGAACAGATACCTTGATTAATGCCAACACTGCAACACCTACGGTAAAACTGCAGGAAATCCCGAAGTTTCTCTGACCTCAGACTTTACATCGGGACAAACATTCAGACACGTGTTAACGACATCTCGTCGAAAATTTTGATGTTAGTGTCCCCACCGCGAATACTAACGGTCTTCCACAATGTTTAGTCTTCAGTTCACGTGTGACAAACGGAAAACTGACTGTCAATTACAGTAACATGTACGTTTACATTGACGTGGGTTTACGTAAACTCATTCAGGAGATTTTCGTTGTTGCAGATGTATCACTGTCAATCATCGGCATAGACCTGCCACAACACCACTATCTGCTCATCGACCTGAGAAAACGGTGACTATTTGACAGTTTTACTAACCTATCTGCTTGAGGAGTATCATTTTATGATTGAAGATTGTGCGCCGTCAAAACTATACATAGAATGGACCATACTTACAACATGATCGAAACTACCGTGTCGGACCGACAATATTACACATCACATCACGATGGCATGACTGTGTTCTCTGAAGCGCTCTGGATAGCTTTCGAAAAGTTGGGACTGATTGAAAGCGAATTCTATAGTATGACAGATTTTGGAAATATCATGCCACCAGAGTCATTTTTTCGAAAATCGGCCCAGTTGAGCCATACAACCAAGATTCGACGCTGAGAACAACACCTCCAAAACGTCTGTCTTTACTCTTTTCGTGCTACGGGAACATTAACTAATGCCTTTTGGTTCAAGAAACGCCGCCCTAACTTTCAAGGGTTGATGGCGTGTTCACAGGTCTGAAATTTGCGCACACCAATTTTGATAACTGCTTAATTGTAAGTTCCGACAGAAAATCCCAGCTCAGTATCTGAACTTAGTTTGCCATTGATTCCGAAAACACGGCACTGCTGTAATCACTCAGTAATGTAAAATCGGAACGAACTCACTCTATTTCCCGTGGAATAACACTGACGCCCAAGTTATTCGTCCTCTGCAAAAATAATGTGGTGACCACTCTGTATTACTCAGAACCGACGACATTCAAGCCACTGACCCCTCTCAATGAACTAGTAGGTTTGTATTGACCATTCATACCGAGCGTCTCTCATGAGGTCATGAACAGACCAGCTTATATGGAGCCTCTGACTTCATTTCACTCTAACAAGAGATAATGTTAATTTTATCTAATTTATACCTCCGTCTTTTCTACTACAAAATGTTAAGCAACGTTTCGCGCTCATATCCAAGTGCCTTGCTGCTCTCGTGTTTCTCTTCTTTTCTTCAGAATCTTGCTCTGATGGCAGAGCTATGGAAATTCTGGAACAAACTTGACGTACGCGTTTCCTCAAGGTCATTGTTTACAGCAAGCGCTCTACGAGTCTACTTTATAAGAACTATAAACTTAATAAGTCGGGAAGCATGCTGTGCGCCAACAAACGCTGAAATTCGTAGATCATGCCTGTTAAAATGGCATGTACCTGATTATGCAGAAATATATATATATATATATATATATATATATATATATATATTCATGTATAAAAACCCATTTAACCACAAACAATAGCAGAATAGCAAATTTACTTTTCACATGAGCGTTCATCCTCATAAGAAGCCGAATAGATGTAGGTTTATGCAGACTTTTGTTGTAAATTGATTGTAACGTGTCGACATGCTTGAGTAGATAGATGCAGATGGCGAATTTGATGAGGCTTCTACAAACAACTTTTAAGTATGGACCGAAATATATCAAGGCAAGAAAAAATAGAAGGTCAAGCAAGTTAGTTTGAGTGTTACACTTAGCTAAAATGTGAGAATCAACCTCAAGGGGCTTAGATTTGATGTTTTCATCATAGAGTTTGGACCTGAGTTATCAACTGAATTTATAGTCCCATATTGACTATTTAGTCAGATTGACTAGATCAGCAAGATGATTAAAGTATGGTGAAGACGTTATACTAATTAACTTTATAGAAATCCGTCCTTAGAAAACTTCGAGGCCACATGATAGCATGTTAAATAGTTATATAAAATCCACGCGCCAGTTTCCTAACTAACGTAACTGTGACATTAACAATACAGTAAGATGGAGACGATCTTTCGTTTAAAATTGTTGATTGGTTGGATATATTATTCTTTCAGCAGTTGCAGTCAGTCGGAAGCTTATTGAGCTAGGAATTCGTACGCATCTCACCGGGGGATTCCTTCCGACCGTAATTCCAACTGGTCGAGTTTCTCATTGCGCAAAATTAGAAAGCTGTAGTGGGTTCAAAACACCGTGCTATCTACATTCTGTTCCGATAGCTAAATTATCTTTATCTCAGGACTGCATTATCGCTCATTGATGACCATAGTTTTGCTTAATAAGTGTAAGTGCGTTAACGCACACAATTGTGTGCGCTTTCTGCCCAATCAACCAACAAAGGGGAAATAAAGGCGAACAAAGAAGAAATAAAAAGGAAACGCACCAAAATGTCTGCTTTTTCGCTTGTCCGGGGAAATGATACTGATTTTCCTCTTTTTGTTGTTCTGTTTCTTAAATGTCGCCCAATTGCTTACTTTCCACTTAAATACACGCCGAATTGTCTACTTTTGCTCCAACTTTTAAAACAACAGTGGTATAACCTCAAAGGTCTCCTATGTTCGCCTTTATTTCCACAACAAACCACACTAAAACTGCAATCCACGGGAAAAATAGTACATGTTTAAAATAAATTCATTGAAAAGGAAAAGCGTATTGTTATACAACATTATGACAGAAGCTTGAGCATCAATCGTTATCCATTTTCATGGCAATTGTCAATTCATTGTTATTTGAAAACATCTACAAAAGAAGAAGCACCTGATGTGTTGTTAATAGTGCATGATTATTAAATTGCAAGTTCATAGAAAATCAAACACACTTTCTCAACACTTAAATGGTTCCCCATGTAACTAAGAATGTAAGCTCATTTCCAAAATAATGTTTATTGAAAATTAAGTTGAAGATAAAAAAACATTCCACGGATTACTTCTTTTAGCCATGCCTGTTCGTCTACTGAGAAAAAATCTTGTGAATTCTGAAGTGTAAAGAACGAAAGAAGTTACAACGATATCTGAATAACATGCTTTAGCATAGCCAGATACTTGAAGCTTCACTTACGGTTATGTTCGTTGACACTGTCGACTGTAACTATAGAGCAGTAGGGAAGTTATCACTTTAAATTAGTACATACCTGTTTTTGTTTCCTTCGATTACGCCTTACTAATTTGTCCCTGACGTCGTGAAAGTGGCCTTGTGTCGCGATATTGTACAGTTTCGCAAGGTCTTTTTCGTTGAAAGATGATGACAAAAAGCGATTGATCAATGCGCCTGAAGTTTAAATAATAGATATAGGTTACTTCGTATGCAGCCGTAAGATCGGCATTTCTGAAGTGCTCGTTTTGACAAAGTACCAAGTGAGTGAAATTACTGGCAACCTCAGGTGTCATGAGGTACAATGAAACACATCACATTGAGGTTTTAGGATAATTATCCATTAACCTCGTTAAAATGGCCATCTGTAATACGAACAAATTGTAAAATGATTAAGATCTTAGACATAAAAAGTCCATCTACATTAATATACAAACTTAAATTATCAAAATCAATAGTACACAACATATCCTACCAAATTGGTTTTCAATCCGAGGTGGTAGTAAACCCCACTGCTGATGAACTTTAGTTGGACATTTGTACATGTACTCAGGACACTTCTGATACTCCTTGGTAAGTCCGGAACCAGGTCTAGGAAATCATACTCATGAGTATCTGGCCTCCATACATATTCGAATTCGTATAGCACTTATGTATTGTGCTTTGTTGTGCCCATGTTTATTTGGTTAAATAAATAAATAAGAGTCCCAAAGCATTTTAACAATTAAACTCAACGGTTTGTAGTGGTAATCGGTATTCAGTGAGTTACAGAACAAAATTTTTCCTACTTTTACACTTTAAGCTAACGGTAAATTTTGTTTATGCTTAACGAAGTTTTATCAATAAATTCTTTACATCTCAGAGATATTGTATTGTGGATTGTCATATGTCACAAACCTGTTGATAAAATAACTAAAATATATTTCATAATTATAACTACATCTTAAAGAGCATTTATTGCCAAAACTGTGCTTCACCGATAAAGTAATCACAATTAAGATATGAATTCTCCAACAAAGCGATAAGTGTGCCATTTGATTCTATAAACAGCTACAGAAAATTCAGTTAAACTATTTCTACTCTATAAGACGTACCACAATCAGAAAGAACATAATTGTTTTTGACTTCGATGCAAATGCAGCATACTAAGACCAAATTATGGGCACCATGTTCCATTTTTCTCGTGGGGTTAGTTTTTTTGTGCATGGACTATAAAAGTCTATCCTCATAAGAAGTCCGACAACCTTCCTACGACGCTAAAGTAATCTTAGAACGTTCGGTAATCGTAGACAAATGTGGTTCCTTATTCATATCCTTCATTCACAATCAATGCAGAGCCTGGCACAATATCTATTGGCTGAAGTTGCTATACCATTTAAGCACACTGAGGTGAGATTAGTAGGATAACTAACTTGTAAAAGGGTAGGAATAGTTGCAGTATTACTAACAACAAGATAGGCTGAACACTAAGAATACTACTCGAGAAAAACAATAGATAAAGGTGGGATGAATTTTTGGTACTGTGGCAAATTCCGATCAGTATCACACGGCATCTCCAACCGCTGATCATGGCTGACATTTAGAGTCCAACCAATTAGTTTGGATCTATTAATGCAGCTCAGTTCAACAGTCAGTGACGTCACGGATTATTGCTACGTCTCGGTTTAACCGCCCTTAGGTTCCTTTCAACTTCTATTCCGGCCAATATTACACGTTATCAACCGACTTCATTTTTAAATTGATTTTGTATAGTTTGTTTGAATCTTCCCATTGATGGTTAGGACTGTAGTCGTCCAATCTCTCATTGGCATTTGTGCATCCTGTGGAGACTGCCTCGATATTGCCTTAAGTCATAAGCATTTTAAACAAAGATGGATGCAGGTTTATCCAGCTGACGAACCCCAAATAAGACCAAAACGTGCGTCCTGGATTCCACTGCTTGCCACCACCCATCTTCGATTTCAGTGCTTCCAGGTTTTCAATGGTGGTCTAGCTTCAACTGACTCATGAGTTCAATCTGTGAAGATTTCATTTTTGTCTAGTACACAGAAAGTAAGCAGAAGCTATGAGATTGCGAGCTGCAATACTCAACCTTTCATTGGATTTTCGGATAGCAGTGTTCGATTTTCTCTCATTCTCTGTCTTCTATCATTTTCATTGTGGTCTGTAAATTTCCCGTTGGTTTCAAAATATTGTGGATAGTATATTAATTTGTTGTTTGTAAACCTCAATTTTGCTAACTTATGGTACATCCAATGGTAATTGTTCAGTTCTTTGATTACATTCGGTGAACATATTACTTATATATATCATAAGCTGACTTCCTAAATAATTATGGAAGATAGAATTTATGATACTATGGAAATTTATCATAATTAAGTTAAACTGAATGTGTCATTAACCGAAATATAAGTCACTTAATATGAATATCGACCAAGAATTCTGGGTGAAAACAATTTTTGTAGTAATAGTCGAATAAAATGAAAAGAGTTTAAGTGTTTTTAAGTAAAAGCTTTGATTTACAGATGACTTACGCTTCCGCAGCATAGACCAGGGTAAAGCGTGAACCTCTCGTAGGCTTTTAATGGATCCTGAAAATGATGTCAAATGACACATTTTAGACTGAACCTGCTACATGTTGAAGAGTAGATGTAAGTAACCTATGTTTTCCTTTGCTAGACTATGTTGGTAGATGCTTTCAGATGCGATAAACAAGTTACCTTGAAAACGAACTAGGTACTTAGCTAAATAGAAACAGTTGAACTGGTTTATGCACATAAAACTGGTTAGTCGTTCTTGATTACCATATAACAGGAAGCACACAGATGGACAACCATAGTATATTGTACGGAGATTTATTTCATCAAATATCTTTCTAATCGTTCTCCAGAAACATTTTTAGGTATAGCACGATATTCTTTTTAAACTCTTGATTCATGTTATGTAATTTTCTTCGCCAATGTACATTTGGTCGGTGACGGCTGTTTCCCCTTCATGTTTTTCTCGATAAATCATATTGAATATCTCTTTTCAATGAAGGTGGATTTCAGAATGTTCATTTCTTTCCCAAAGCAGTTTAATGAGCTGATTGTTTGGTAACTTGAATATAATTAATAAAATCTAACCCTCCGCTAAATTGTTTATGTACAACTAATAGTCAAAATTGAAAAAAACAGGACAATCTTCACTCTGTGGCAATAAAATCCATTAAAGTTTAACCTTGTTCATTCCCGATTTTCCTTTCATAGTGTAGTAAACTCTATAACCATATTGGGTAGTATGCACTAACTAATGAGTAGTAACTGAATTTTGCTTTATGCACCATTGAATTGAGTAAAATACAACATTTTATTCCAATCATTCTAAATTATGTTAGGTCTTTACTACACCTCACTAAGTATTAGCTCGCGCAATGTGAATACGCATGGTTTATCGTATGAATGTTGTATTCAGCAAGTGGTTTATTGTTTGTGAAATGTTGGCCATAAGACTTTTTCAACATAATTATTTATTTTTGTGATTTATACCAATATTCTTGGTTTTGAAACTAACAATTTCTTTCACTTATTTGCAACCACTATTTGTTTCTGCAGGCTAAATAATCGAACCTTCATGTTATGTAAAGGCTAAAATCTACGAGTTCTAATTTTTTTATGATATATTTTCTTTAATAATCTTTATCTCAATCATAAACACGTTGAAAATGGCTGCATGTGTGGTAGTAATTTCCGATACTAACCAATTGCTTTACTTGAGAACTGCCGAGTGTCCTGATCCTTTGTTCTACCACTTTAAAGCACATTCTGCTTTGGATGTTATCGAAGACAAATTATCCAAACGTACAACTTCTGGTGGTAATCACGATCAACTAGAACAATACCTGGGACTTCTATATCCAATGGAGGACCACAGAATTTATGGTTATGTGACTAATACAAAGATCAAAGTACGTGTAATATGCAAGACGGAGTTGTCACAAATTTCAGTATCGTTGTATATTTGTTTACTTTTTAAGAGTAGTTTTCACAAATATTAAGTGAATGTAGCTGCTTCCTAACGTTTTTATATCTATTCAGACCTATCGCAATATTATTGTTGGGTTTCTCATAAACAAAATCGTCTGTATAAACGTTAGGATATCAAATAAAATTTCATGCCGAGTATATAAAAAGCAAATTATATCTGTAAAGCTTTCGGAAGCTTAAATTAAATACTCCTAGGATTCCGCCCGACATTATGTCTTTATTTTATTTGGACACATATATATAGGTACAAGGGGGCATTAGATACATATGCGCCACACAAATATCATTTGTTATGTGTGAGGGCTGTGATACTAACCGGGTACCCAAACCGAAGCAGGTGATTTTCTTAGGGGGCCACACCCGGAGCATTTGACATAAAGCTCTGATCCACAAGGCGATGGACTCCGATTGTAGCCGATGACCGATAATTGGTTCATACGCCATTTGTTCCCTCAGGATACTGGGGCCCACCCGATCGTCTATTTTGAATTGTTTTTGTTTCTCTAGAAAAGCTTATCAAATTCTTAGGCGAAACGTTAGGACGATATATTTGCCAAACATCAATACTTTCGTGGACTCCATATGAATTCAAAAGCCAATATTTGACTAGAATACTTGTTAGTGGAATACGTGATTTCACCTTTGAACTAACCATTAGTCACTAATCTAGAATGCTTGAAGCAATGTTTCAGGATATTTTTTTCTCTTAATACATCTATTACATAAATTTAGTAACTATAGTTTAGAAACTCGAACATTCAACTACTATTTAAATGGTCACATTAATTTGGAGATTGCTATGTACCCTAAATCAGTCACAGCACAAGTACAACTAGTTTATCAGCTCTGTTTACTTTCTACATGTACCTTGAACAAAGTTAAGATATATGGATGCGTACTTACGCCTGTTACTCCTCGTAGAGCAGCATAGACCGCCCGTCAGCACCTCTGGTTAACGTTTTCTTAGCGATTTAGTTTTCTACGGGATGGGGTCGCTAACCCCATGCTCAACCCTCCTCGTTTACCCGGGCTTGGGATCGGCAGTAACTGTAAAGGAGATACAGGCGGAGTTACATACGGATGCATATCTGCAAATATTTTGGTGAAATCTTATCCACGACGTTGTACCGTTATATGCTTAGATAGTATTTGTGGCAAAAATAAGAAATATTCTATGTTTTTATTCAAATTCCTTCCATGTAATATCAAGGATAAACTGTTAGTTTTTAAAGCAAATTTTACGGCAATTTACATTCATAATGGTAGGAATGTATATAGATTGGCATAGAAATATGTATTCTAATTACCCTGCTAGTGAATCGATGAAATACTTTCATACATGAGCTAGATTTGAATGTTCGTTTTCATCAATTTATAAAACTAAATTACTTTTACATAAGAGAATATCAGAGTTTATCGATAATGTAGTTGTAGTGTATTTTTTCTGATTTTATTGGCTATACCCATCATAGTAAAATATTTAAATGTTTGTCTTTTGAAAATGAATGTAAGGGATTTCATTAGTCAGGTACACTGTGAATGGTGTAGAAAATTTGTAGCTCAGGTGAATGATTTTGGTGCAGTTTCGTTCTCTGCGCTGGATGGTTTGAACAAAGCCATCCAGCTCAGGTTACATTGTGGAGCATGATTTCTAGCTCAAAAATAAGATTTCAAAGGAGTTTCACTCACTGAGCAAGATGGTGGGGAATTTTAAAGTTCTACTTGTGTTTTTAGATGATATCATCAAAACACGCCTCGAAAATCATGTTCATATTCTAACTGTAGATTAAACTGGATTTATTCTGCACAGATTGATATCCTACCTTGTCTTTCTAGAAGAAAGCATTGGATAATTTAAGACTTAAGTTTGAAATTGTCAGATCAGGTTCTCACTTGAGTATGCTCCACTTTTAAACTAGTAATACTACTCACTTTATTCAGTACTTTATGTATAAATAGATCCTTTATTGCAAGTTAAACTGTTACTGTTGTTCAAAATGCATGACCATTCCTTATTATAGAATCGAATTTTTATTTAAATTGCAATTTTACTTTTTTTCTCTTATAGTTTATCATGATTTTTGAGTCACATGTTTTGTCTTCTCAATCAACCCAATCCAATGTATCAGTTCATCAAACACATCTTCGAGATGTTGATGTTCGAGCAATGTTTCAACGTTTGCATACCGCTTATATTGCTTTGGTGTGTTCACCATTTTATAAGCCGGGAACACCTATTCAACCAGATAAATTATCAGCTGCATATCGATTTGATCAATGTATTTCTTCACTTTTAGCTACAAATGCTAGTTCTGGTTATTGTTCTACATTTACTAATCTAATCGATGAAAGCAAAACATCTACTGGTGATAGTATAACAACAACAAATATAATGTCTCCTAAAGCCTAATATTCATCTGTATAATTTTTTTTACTTTACTTAATATAACTTGAATTTTGTACTGTGATGTGATAAAAAAAATTCGATCTTGTAGTCCATTGTCAGCAAACTTACTTACTTACGCCTGTTACTCGTGGAGGAGCATAGACCGGCCGCCAGCACTCTGGTTAGCTTTTTTTTAGCAAGTTAGTTTTCTACGAGATGGGGTCACTAATCCCATGCTCAACCCCCCTCGTTTACCCGGGCTTGGGATCGGCAGTAACTCTAAAGGAGCTACAGGCGGAGTCAGTGTCAGCAAAGGTCAGGTCGTAATAATCTATATTATGAACAAGGGCTTGGGCGTCGCAGCTTGGTTGATCATGTTTTGAGATTTCATGTCATGAAAATTAGGTTCAATTTACCGTCAAATTTACTAGTACATAGCTGGCAAATTAGTGAAAAGGTTGAAACATTAACTCTGAATCGCATTTCTATTTATTATTAAAGTATTCAAAAATTGCTTATTTGTGTCAGTTAAAAAATTATTTTTATAAATACCTGCTTCGAACTATGAAGAACTTACGACTTCCCTGCTGAAAATTAAAGGGAAGACAATGTCTATGTTATTTCAAGTCATTCGGACAAAGCATGTTCTCGACTGCTACAATTTTCTTAGTTATCAAATTGAACGACGACAGCAATCTGTGAAGTGGTGTAAGTTAGCTAAACTGGAAACATTTTACCTGAGTTTCTTAGAATACTCAAACTTGTTATTCAGGTACTCAAATTAATATAGCTCATATGTCATGCATTTGTTATATGGCTTGAAACCATTAGCAATATTATTCTCTGCTGGTATGTTTGTTGTCCTGGTTTTCTCTTAATATGCTATTTTGTAATACGTACGCTTCTAAGTCAGAGAAATCTTCACTGAAGAAATCACTACATATTTTAATGGTTCATTGAAGTTTTATGTGTAATTTGTATCGTATCTTATTAAGTAGTCTAATTATACTGTCATAATGTTTTTTAATACGATTACTGTAGGGGTATGAAGTTAATGTCTACCAAAGGTCACTAAAATGTCATTAATTTTCGAGATACAGCATTTCACCGATAAAAGGGTGTTGATGAGTGTATAAAGTGTAAATAGGGATGGTGATTATTGTTAGTATTTTCCCTCAGTTTATATAGTTTCTGAATCACATTATGTTCTGCCCATAAAATTGTTCTTAATTCTTTAACGTAGTCTTTCCTGTAATATATATTTGTATATATATATATATACTGTCAGTGGGTGCCAGACTTGACAGTCATTAACACCAAAGCCATCTCTCTCAAATCCCCAACCTCATCCGTAATACTGACCATGAAAACCTAGAAGCCAACATATGAAGTCAAAGTTTTTTCTCTTAACCAATTGCTTATTTCAGAGATTCTAATTGGCAATTTCTTTGGGTAGTTTGGATATCATTCTGCCCTTTCTTAAACACGCATTCAGATATAAAAGTAATACTGTTGAATATAATTATGTGATTCTCATCTATATTGCCTATAACAAGGACGATACTTTTCAACTGTTCTTCGAGAACTAGTTTAAAATGTCAAGTGTCGTCAGATTTCCTAGGAAAATTAGTCCACAGAGTGAATTAGAGTTTTGTAAATTGAAATTATCGGCTTTAACGTAGATCTCTATTCCTTGTCAAGGCGTATAAGAACTATGTGTAGCATCTAAATTTAAACTAACAGGTAACTTTCATTTATCTTTTTCACTTCAGAATTTTGTCTACTTGAGGACATAAGGAAATTGCCAAATTAGATTTTCTGTGATAGTTTCACTCCAAAACATCAGGTATTGAACCACGTAAAGGAGAAAGCGTTTGAGTATAGCATGTTACTGAAGGTCTTCACTTATAAGATAAAAGTCTTGTTTATCATTATATTAATTTACATGAGCTGAGAATCTGGAGACACCAACTTGCAGACGGATTATGTCGTCCAAAATATTAAGTACTTCAACGTTTGTTTCCACCTACATTTACAAATAAGAAAAGGTGTACGTAACTTTTGGAGATGAAATTTTCATTAGTATTTCGTTTACATTCTTCTGCTTTCCATCCATCATTTTTATAAAATAATTCCCCCATCATAATCTAGGCTTGAATATCACTTAAATTATCTTTGTAAACACAGCAAGAACGGAAACAAGAATACATGAAAATAGTAGGATATTGGTCAGGAATCGAAGATTGGGGAGGGTTCTTGTATTTGTTTTCACTGTATCTATCACAATTTGATAAATTTAATATACTAACTTTCAAATAGGGAACTTGAAAACTAGATTGTCTATTACCATAGCCTTCTTAGTTTGAGGACCGTTCAGATAGATGCTCTCCATAAGGTTGGAGGTGTTCTGTAGTTATTACTAAAGTTGTGTTCTTTCTTTTAAAGAATACTTGGTTTTCCTGCAGCCCATCCAAAATTAATTCATAAACGGGACGCGTTCGGAGATGCATATTGAACAGAAGTTAGGACAAACAAAAGTAAACTAATATTCTACGTTGCGTTTCACTGACTGAATTATGAATATTACCTGTTTCAAGAATTACCACAAATGCAATACTGTTCCAAAGATCTTATCTTCATCCACTACAGATGATTACAGTGTTTGTCGGTTGCTCATCCAATAAATATCTTAAGACTTTGTCAGTCCAATTGGAAGTTTAGCGACACAATCATGCATGCAAACCATCAGTATAAACAGTCGAGCAAATCTCCTGAAAACTGTCGAATTCAACCCAACACTAACTGGGGTTCAAGCCATTATTATAGACATGAGTTGGGAACGTACTCCCCTCGGTTACAACTTATGTTCTTCCTGATAATCACACGAGCATCACTCACTGTTAATCATCTTGTAAAGACTTATTTAACCGCAGATATCTTGGAGCAGCACGTCACCTATAATTTCGGCACATAAGCTTGGTTGATTCCAACAATTTATAATAACTATAACTCGATTAAATCGTATTCCGCCTTATGCTAAACTGCATACTTGGAACTAACTTGTATGCACCATCAGCCGGTAGGTATGAATATAAATAGGTAGTCTATGGCAAATCAGAACATGTCTAACGGATACACTCATGTTTAACGAATTCCTCTTTGTTATCTGTCCAAAATTCACAGAATTGTCACTTTTCACGTATTAGGATTTTTTTGATAACCATTCATATGTACTAATAGTATTACTAAACTCTATCACGGTCATGTAAAAACGAGGTGGAGAAAATCTCTCCGTAACTAAATAAACCGTATCAAACTAACTGGAACACTAATTGGAATTCTTCTCTACGGTAATACCTTTGTTATTTCAGTCTACTAATACAGATGCGATTGAGAATCAATTCATATGGACAGCTAACCGGCATAAACGTTATTTGACTTATTAATTTAAACCAAGAATAATACTAATATTAACATCCCTACAATATTGATTGTTTTTAATATTTCTAAACACGAAATGCTATTAACCTATGGCTATTACTACGCATCTTATGGCGATCGCCATGACGCAAGAGATAAAGTACATAAACGTGGATGGCGATCCAAAGAAAGGGTGAGCTAAAACCACTTAAAATGCTTGTTATAATACATATGTTAAGTTTGTCCTACATTGTTCCTACTCGTTCCCTTTCTACTCTTTTGTATATTGTTTTATACTACTTATTTACATTCAGTAGTCAGTTGTATTCCCAATAACTGAAGTTCACTTTGGGGATTTCCCCAAAGTTTGCAGGATGATAATTATCATTGTATTTATCACTATAATCACTGTACTTTAATTACTGTAACGGTTTATTACTTTGTGATCAATACTTAAAGTGATACAACTTTTGTCTTTTCCGTTTCCCTTTCAGTTGGCTTCGCAGGCTTTATCAGACGTAACTGTGAGTTCTGTGTTCGCATTAAGAACATTGTCATACTGTTGGTACATCATCGACCTTTCACATATCTTGACACGTTATTATACACTAAAAATGATTCTTTTTATTTTTTAGAACGTTATCAATGACAGTTCTACATCTACGTAAGGTGTTGCTGTTACAACGCAATGAAAAACTTTGTATAAACGAATCATTTGTAATTTTATTAACTGTAATAAACATTTATATATGTCATAAATCAGTCTTTTAATAATTGCGATAAATCGGTTAACATTAAGTTTCATTAGCAATGAACGACTGACGAAAAGTAATAAAACATCCCAGTAAGAAATGTACGTAAGCATTCTCCCTAGGTCTTCCGTGATGTCTATAGGTTTTCGTGGAGGTTTTGCTTTGAAACAGTTTTGCAGGAAAACCCCAACGTTTGGGGAAATTTTTGAGGATTTCCCCAGATCTGGGGAAATTCTGGGTTTTGGGTCTCATTTCCCCAAAATTTACTATAGCGGCTTCCCCAAAATGGGCCAAATTTTCCCCAAAATTGGCAGCTCGGAGATTTATGGAAATATCTATATACCGAATCATTCTTAATTTTTATAATCCCACATTGTTCATTTCCTATATAATCTTCAAATAGACTTCTATTTTTTGGCGTGCTAAGAATAAGACCAAATATTTCGAAATTACTTACACGGGCTACAACTTCAGCCATTAACCAAATGTTATTACTATGCATTTTGATGTGACTTATTAAAATATCCCTATACTAAATCGTTCTTCACAGTTATAATCCCGCCATATTTTACGTATAAATAATGTTCATGTGGGTTTTCATTTTAAGCGTGTTAAGCATTAAAACAGACATTTTAAAGTTATTACATGTATTTCCCTATCAGTTGCTGCCGCCTTTTTTGATTTATCTTTTAGCCTATCAATACCCGGAGAATTTTTATTATTCTTGATAACATCCAGAGCACGACAATCCCACTCAATTTGGTCTCGAACCAATGTCACATTGACTATGGTGAGAGAGTAGTGTAGTAGTATTAGGCCCTGACCATAGAATCCTTAAGACTGAATACGAGA